TTTTAATTAGCTCATTACCAACTCACACACGAAGGTAGACCTTGTTTATTTGTTGTGTGATGTTAAATCTAAGCGTCATAACCAGAAACATAATCACTGACGAACAGTTTCTAATCTTTGATGTTGAGTGCTTCAGTTCTTTGTTTCGGAAGACTATCTCTTGGGTGCGCTAACTTGGAATCCTGAAGAGAAACGGAAAAGAGGAAGGCCAAAGAGTACACCGAGTCGGGAATCGGAAGCAAACTTGAAAAAGATTGCCCAGGACAGGGTTGAATGGAGAGTGCTTCTCGACGAGGGGTAACAGGCGTAATAAAGTAATCTTTTAAGTAACATATGATCGTTTCTAACTCAGGGCCCATAAGAATCTCCATTGATGAGAGATATTTTCATAATACACTTTTAAGTGTAGTACAGTCTGAAGAAGTACATCATTTAGGAAATATATCTGTTAGAACGAAACAAGTTACATTGTATTATTAGACCATCAAAGTGAATGTTCAATTTAATCATGTTACTGACAACAAAAATCAATTGCTGACAATGTTATGTCCTTGAGTCTGTCTACTCACTTTTGGTGCTGAGGATACTTATTTCATCCAGATTAAGACCTTGTCGCGATAGGCTGACCGGCTTAAACTTGAGGCTAATACACATGAGTTCGAAGTGAGGTAGAGAGAAGAAAACTATTCTATCACCTGATTGGTTGACAAGCACGCGAGTGAGAGAAGACAAGACAAATGGAACACCACCCGATCTATTCCCGATTTCAGATTAGTGTAAAAGAGTACATGAATAAACAGATGACTAGTCCGGCCACAACGTACAATAATTAGGAAAAATACAATTATAAGGAAAGATGGATAGTGGCTAGCAGTGGAATCCAGGACGCGCGTTTCGTCCTGTTTGGGACTCGTCAGCTGGATGTACCTGTATCTCAGAGTTGATGTTCACTCTGGGACTCGAACTCAGTACCGTTCGCTTCAAACGCCATCGCGTTATCCACTTAGCTACTGAGTCCTGATAGCCACTTGCTTGTGCAATGGGTTGAAGTTTAATTCACTTGATATTGTTTTGTTTGAATCTTCCCATTGATGTTTTTGGACTGAAATTGATCAGTCTCTTATTGGCATATGTGCATACTGTGCGTATGCCTCGATATTGCCTTAATTTACAAGCATTATAAGCAAAGATGGATAGTGGCTAGCAGTGGAATCCAGGACGCGCGTTTCGTCCTGTTTGGGACTCGTCAGCTGGATGTACCTGCAGTCCAAAAACATCAATGGGAAGATTCAAACAAAACAATATCAAGTGAATTAAAATACAATTATGTTGTCCAAAGCTGGGAATTAGAGGAGAAAATAAGGTGCAAAATATTATGCTTAAGTTACAATAGCTTCGGAACAGAAAAGGGTATGGCAATGAATCACACATCGAACGAAAGCTTATGTTCTGTAGATAAAATTAGGGACAAAAATAAATGTTAGTGTTTTACAAGCTTTACATAAAATGAAATAACGTCCCAAAAAATAGCTTTTGTAGTTTGTCAGAGCTTCTTGTTTCCCTCTTCACATCGGATAAATACTGTAATATTGAAATGTCTTGATACAAATTAAGGATACTTCAATTCAGAGGAATAGTACATAACTAACTCAGTCAGTCAGCTACAACGTAGGACCAGGCACATATGTGCATCGGTCCAAGTTGCCATACCACATCAGCACAACAAGATGAACACCGGATTCACAGTAGTGGTTAGGTCAAAAGTGGTAATATATAAGAGAAAGATTGCCTATAGAGATATAGTACAAGAAGAAAGAATTGGTTCGTAGAAAGAAAGATATGAAGTGATTTTAATCTCGTAGTTTAAGGGAAGACAGGGAGTGTATACACCAACGCCATTGTGAACGATTCTGAGCCATGTCACCAAGTCTCCAACCATTGGTTACGATAGTCACGCGGACCCCAACCAAGTAGTCTGCATCTACCAACATGGCTCAGACTAGAAGTTAGTGACTTCAAGCACTGATGCCACGTTTTGGTTTGGCCGCCCCTAACTTTCTTCCAACCATCTCCAATACCGGATAGCATTGCACGTCGTGGTAATCGGTGTTCAGGCATACGTAACACGTGGCCCAACCATCTCAGTCGATGAAGATTCATAACCTCATCAACTGATTTACCATCATTCCCTAATACCCTGCGTCTAACTCATATAAACAATGTGAAAATAAATCAAAGATACATTCAGTCGGTTCATTGATCAACTATACCTTCCAAAAAAACTAGTTTTAATCTGACCATCTATTGAATTAAAATAATCGAAAATTGCGCTTAAATTCTTTTTTTACTTATAATCACAGTTTGAGTTTTAAAAATGATCCGTTTAATGACTCTTACATACTTTTTACGAACATATTAATTTAATAGTTGAATTCATAAGTTAACTGAAGCTAGATCATCATGGAAAACCTGGAAGCACTGGATGAACGTTTCTTCATAGTGTGGGACTCCTCAGCAGTGTCCTTAAATGCCCTGGTACGGTCGAGAGTGTGGGGAAGTCAGCTATCCCTCTCCAAATGCTCTCACATGGCCACGTGCATACTGCCGCTGACAGACAGGGAATTCCTACTCAATGCCTTCAGGCGACATCACCGTTGTTTACGAAATTGAGAGGACGAAAACCGGATGTCTGGCGCTTTAACCGGGTTGATAGACACATAGAGTCCACCTAGGGGAATTGGAAAACCCTGATTCTAAACCAATGGTGCACATAGGCTCCAGGATCCTAAGGAAACAAATGGCGTATGAAGGAATCATTGGTGACTGGCTACCATGGGACTGCATCTGTGGTGTGTGCTACGTATATTGATATAAGTAGTATATGACGCGAGTCAGAAACATAATGTCTGGCAGCAGAATATGGAGGAAGATCAAGAAAGGAAGAGCGAGAACACGATGCAATTTGTATGAAAACGCATGAACAATGAAACGTCAGACAATGGATTGATGTTTGCAATAGGAACAGTCCGGGTTGATGTGATGGATTGATATTTTGCAAATTAACGATTTACTATATGGTTTTTCTATTTTGTCAAGTAACTCTGTAATTTTGTGTTAGACACAATTTGGTTGTTCCCCACCGGTATTCTTCACTACACGTTTACTGACGTTGCTCCACTACCTTGTGGATTAGACCTTTAGATCAAAGGCTCCGGGTAAGCTCCCTGAAAAAACCACGTGCTCCGATTTGGGCACCCATGCAGTATCACAGCCCTCACAAAAACCAAATGAGATCTTGTTATAACGTGAAAATAATTGCTGATTAAGGGATAGCGGATTATTGATCGGACCAAAGACGCACAAACACGTAGAACGACCTAGGGTTCTGATTGGTCTCGCTTCCCTGTCTGACCCAGCCAGTTGAGTCCAGAACGAAAGTCACAGCCTCGGATATATGAATCATTATATTTCAAACATACTCTATTTATATACCAAGCAAACAAACCACATCGTACCACAGAGTAGAAAATAACATTGTACAATATTGGCCAACAGGAAAATAACACGTTAAATAAATATCGACCAATGGGAAATGTACATTTAAGGTCCAAGGACACCATTGGACTTAACATGATAATTTTTGGGATATTTTCCTGAATATCCCAACAGATCTATGTAGCGCATATGTATCTGGTGCTCCCTTGTACCAATGTTTGTGTTCAAATAAATGAATAATAACAAAACCCGCCCGCGGGTTTCGAACCCACCGCCTATCGGCTTCGCGAACGCTTGACCTCCAAACCGCTGAGCCGGTCATCCAATGCTTCCAGGTTTTCCATAATGTTCTAGCTTCAATTGACTCTTGAACTCAACTATTAAATTACTATAATATCCACAAAACCCCTTTTTGATTATATACATATTAGCTAACACAAAATCATCTGAACAGATATGAATTACATATACTCACACTTACAAATCTTACATCATAATAACTCTATAGTTAATTGAGAAGATTTCTTCTCCTTTGTGTGTAGTTTTATTATTCTAAAGTAATTTCTATCGTAGACTTACATCGGTTTGAGAACCATGTAGAAAGAAGGAAACATACGACCGATGTTTCGTCCTAACCTGGAAAACCTCATCAATAGTCAATGCTAATATCACATAGTTCATTATTAAAACCTTCATGCCTAGTGAAACTCATGAAACCATCTGAGTTGATTGAAATAGGTCTACGTATCCAACTTTAATCAATCCTAGTATAACACAACTCTAAGTAGAGCCTTAAGTGTTCAGACTAAGACAGGACACTTTATTTAAAATGTTTTTATAGTTTTCATCACGAACTGATCTTAGCTAAATGATTGTCAAAAACAACTATATCCTAGTATGGGACTACTCAGTAGTGTGTATCCACGACATCCCAGGACTTTCAGGCATTCAGGTGGACAACATTTAGACAACTGAACCGGCGTTCACTGATTTATTTGTTTAAGCTGTGAATTTCAATTATTCCTGGTGTAAGGTAGATTTCCACAATGACATTGCACAGTTATTATTTAACACCGTGAAGTGATTAAAGTTAAGCTTGCAACCCCCTGGATACCAACTCATTAGTTTAATATTTGAATGCTTGTAACAATTTCCCTAAGGTCTTGGGTTCGAACCTCCGTACTGCCGAAGAGTAATATACTAAGATGAAACAGTTGGGTAGGGCTTTTAAGCCTTAAATGGTTACCAAGCTAAAAGTTGTTTTGTGATATGAAGCGAAAAATTCAGCAATCTTCACAAATTCTCTATACTTATATATACATAAAGTTATGAATCATAATATAGATGTGTACCGCAGTCTCTGTTTTATGCAAAATACTGACTATAGTTAAGATTTCAATATCTCGAAGATGATAAACGTTGTTTTGTTCAAAACTATCATACAAAATAATGTGTATAAAAGCAATGAGAAATTGTAGGAAAAAAAATAGAAGGAAGAATACAATTTAACTGCATAGTACATGATCTAATGTTGTAGATGATTCAAGTGGAAGGATCCCATTAAAATGATAATACACTTTTGTTCGTTCAGTGAGAGTAATATCTTTAAATCCAGCATTCAAGAAACTATCAACAACAACCTTAAAAAGAAAGAAAACAGAATGCAGAAATTGTATATTGGTAATGATGATAATCAAATGCCACCATCACCCCCGCCCCGAAAAAAATATATTAAACTGTAGAAATTATCACATAAGCTAATAATATCGACATGGTATCTTACAAAAAATCAATAAAATGTGAGGATGAGGAATTAAGGGTAGTTACTGGTAATAAAAAAAGCTTAAACCTTTAATGATCTTACATATTGTGAGATATTACAATACGAATTCAAACTTTCAATCTATGATATAACCTGAAAATCATTCAACATTATCGACGGTTAACTGACTCGAAAGCTCCTCACTAACTATTCAATCAAAATAAGGATCGCATGAATACCAACGACAGCCATCAGGATGAATTTACAACAATTTCAATAGGAAATAGTAACTGGAAAATTCCGACGGCGGCGAGAAAGGGGGTCACGAAAGGGTGTTATTGAGTGATTTCAATAGTTCGTGAGTTGAGTCAGTTGGTCATCAGCAATATATAACTAGGAACATATATGCACCTGATCAAATTACCAAGACATGAAATTATCAAGATAAATGTAAGAGTAGTAGATGTAGTAACAGTATCAGTGGTAGTAAAATACATTAGGCCTAGACAATAGGATTCAGGAAGGAATGCATTAAAGGAATAAAAAACACGACATGGTTTTAAAAACTCAAGATCTAAAAGAACATGAAAAGTAATAACACTTGCACAAATGAGACCAATCATAAAAAATGTCACATAACATCTCCAACCCCTAAGTCAGTTAGTCGTTAACAACGTAGAAATTCGTACGTACGTAAATCAGTTCGGGTTGCCACACCACCTTAGCACAGAGATGCGGTTGTCCATTCAAATCCTGTAGTGGCAGAGGTGGTAAGAGTACAAGCAGTAATCGGAAAGATTAGGGTTTGAAGATGTTATTTAAAGAGTACAGTCCAGTGAAATAAATTTTCAAAGAGAAAAAAAGGGAGGTACGATATTCAGAAGATTAGAACTTGAGAGAACACAAAGAGTGGATGCACCCGTGCCATTGCAAACGATTTTCAGCCATGTCATTCAAGGTCTCTAACCATCGGTTGCTTTCATCTCGCAGTCCCCAACCAGGTAGTCTACACCTACCAACATCGTTCAGCCCACTTGTCAGTGACTTCATGAACTTGTGCCATGTTTTGGTCTGGCCGCTTCTAGCTTTCTTCCAACGTACTCCTATACCACTGAACATAGCACGTCGAGGTAGTCGGTGGTTGGGCATACGTGACACGTGTCCCAGCCATCTCAACTCATGAAGTTTCACTACTTTATAAATTGATTTGCCATCCTTACCCAGTACCCGTTCCCTAACAACTGCATTACTTACTCGATGGTCCCGTGATATACGAGCAATGTTTCGAAGACACCTATGATCAAATACTAGTAAGTTACGAATATCCTCTACTCTTACCGGCCACGTTTCACTGCCATAAAGTAGGACGGAACGAACTGCTGCGCAGTAAACACGTCCTTCAGTTGATAGACGGATATCTCGCCTACGCCATAAATGACGCAAGTTGGCAAAAGCTAGTCGAGCCTTCTGTATCCGTGCTGAGATTTCGTCACACACTAAACCACAAGGGTTGATGAGACTTCCAAGATAGGTGTAGCGGTCGACACGCTCAACTACTTCACTCCCTATCATTAGTTCGGGTGTCGATGCAACCCAATCCTGAAGTAAAATTTTGCATTTCGAGAATGGGGAGAATCGCATCCCGAACATGCTTGGATTGTTGCTTAGAGTGGTCAGAAGACACTGCATTTTGTCAGCGTCTTCACCAAATAAAACTATGTCATCAGCATATTCTAAGTCAACAAGTGAACCTCCTGGTAGAAGTTCAACCCCTGGAAATTTAGATGAGGAGAGTGTTATCTCTAAAAGTACATCGACGACAAAGTTGAACAAGAATGGAGAGAGTGGACAACCCTGACGAACACCACTTGAGGTAATCAATTCTGATGACAGTTCGACATAAGTTCTCACTCGACCAGTTGTGGTCGAGTAGAGAGCCTTTATAAGGTTAATGCACTTCTTTGGTACTCCTTTCAGTGACAAACAGTGCCATAGAACCTGACGATCAACAGAGTCAAATGCTGCCTTAAGGTCGAGAAATACTACCATTGTGGGGCGTCTGAATGTGTGTCTGTGTTCTAGAACCTGACGTAGTGTGAATATCTGATCTATACAACCACGTCCAGGTCGAAAACAGGCCTGGTTTTCTCTAATCTGCTCCTCACGAGCTTTGATTAGGCGTCGAAGTATTATTGAGGCTAATATTTTAGACACTATATTAGTCAAACTGATTCCTCTGTGATTGTCACAAGAGGACTTTTGTACTTTCTTATAGACTGGCACAATCAGTGATTGAGACCAGTCAGATAGGATTACGTCCAGTTCCCAAATTCTACCTAAGACCTCGGTTAATCTCATTGCTAATACTGGACTACCATCCTTAAAAATCTCAGGAGTAAACCTGTCAGGGCCTGCTGCTCTCCCTCGTTTCAGATTTCCTATGGCTTTTTAAACTTCGTAAAGGGACGGAGGACCTACATTAACTTGCCATTCAGGTTGACTAGAGATCGTGGGAAACCGAATTATGGCTGAAGGCCAGTTGAACTGATCCCTAAAGTGTTCTGCCCATCGATCCAATCTCCTGGATTGAGAATGTATATGTCCATCTTTCTCTGAGACAGTTTCGCTAACAATCGGGTTCCTAATTCCGGTTTCCTTAACAAGTCTGAACAATTGTCTGCTATTACCTATTGCCGCTGCCTTTTCCATCTCTCTCGCTTTCGCTACCCACCACTGTTCGCGATCATTGCGTAGGCTTCTTTTCAGCTTGTGCTTAAGCTGACTCCGCTCTTCATTATGTTCAGAGTCAGGTGAAATGAGTTTCCGAGCATCTATCAGTGCGATAGATGCTGCTGAGATCCAGTGTTGCTCCCTAACCTTCTGGTTTACCTTACTAGCAGACATCACTGCTGTTTCCACACCTTTTCGGATATCATTCCATGATGCCTCGGGGTGGGCATCACATACATGGCTGCCTAACTGTTTTCCTAGTTGTTCCTGAAATATACTCTTAGCTCGACTATCATTAAGTAGGACCCTAAGAGGTTTCCTTGCAGCGTCTTTCCTACGTCCAGTAAGACGCAAGCAAACACGCGCTCGCACTAGAGCATGATCTGAATCTAAGCATGTGCTCCAGAATGAGCGACAGTCTTCTATCGAACCCCTCCATCGGTGACTGATAGCGATGTGATCTATTTGGGTCCAACGTTGGGACGAATTAGGGGGTCGCCATGTTAAAAGATGTTTTTTCTTATGCTTAAAGTTAGTGTTTACAAGGAACAAGCGGTTATCTGAGCATATTTGCAACAGACGGTCGCCATTGTCTTTTTGTTGAGCCACGACACCCTAAGATCCACCTAGGTGTCTTTCCCTATCGCTTAGTTTACTTACTTGAGCATTAAAGTGACCAGCCACTATTACTACATCAGAGCGCCTAGCTTTTCGGAGAAAGTGGGATAGCTTTCTGTAAAATTCATCTTTTACATCATCTGAGCTGTAGTTAGGGAGATAATAGGCGGAGACGACCAAGAGGCAACGACGAGTGTCCTTATCTTTCCGAGTACTTATTGTTCCGTTGAGTTGGACCTTGCACAGACGACTGTCTACTAGGATCCAGTCTAAGAGAGCTAGTTCTGACCTAGGACTCAATGCTATGCCTACGCCGGCGAGGCCACGGGAAGCAGAACCAGGGCTTCCAGATACACGAAGCGTAAATCGAGTCGGTTCTTTATTTTGACATGGTAAGGTCAAATGAATGACGCTACTCGGATCCTGTATGCGCGTTTCGGAGACGCAGCACACATCGATGGCGCGAGATTCTAAATTTTTAGCTAAGGAAGCCTGCTGTCCTATTTGGCAGAGTGTTCGGACGTTATAAGCTCCTACGTGTAGTTTAGAGAGTGGTTTCAGGAGACCAGGAATAACGTTCCGCGTACTCGAATCGTTTGCCCTAGCGGTGCGAGGTGATAAAGGGACGTGAGAAGGGTTAGTCGTGGAGACAAGAAAGAAAGATATTAAGATGTGTAGGAAGAATTCGAATGTGACCAACTTGGTATCGTGTGCTGTTACGGGTATGAGGGCTGATGTCTATTCCCGGCTGCCCACACCGTGGAAGGGTATTTCTCGAGGAGCCTGAAAAGGAATTTGGATTAATGTTGGCCTTAACGACCTGGGAGCGTGACCGCAGAGCCCAAGGGACAACTGTTTGAGGCCGGTCGCGCACGACCTTTTTGTGGGAGGTTTTTAACTGGTTAGCTCTGTTCTTCAAAGGGCCTTACCGCCGGAGACGGGAATCCGTGAGGTAAAGTGAGGTGTGACACTGTTAGGGTCAACCTTTTCTAAGCCCTTCCTTCTTTGTGAGAAGGCAGCATCGCTGTAGATGCTGGTTGTCCGAGGGAAACACCTTATTGCTGTCAACCCCTCTACAATCAGCAGTACGACTTCGCCCTCAGACCTTGAGTTGCTGTTTTTAGTCTTACCGTTCTCCAATCGACCTGCCTGGCATGGTAAAACCTGCAGGAACATATGTTCCAGCCAATATAGCTCGGTTGGGTCATCACGATAGGCAAGCCCGACCACCGCGTCAAGGTAGCAGCTACGGTCGGGATCTCCAACCACTGCTTACGATAAACACGCGGAACCCAATCAGGTAACCTAGGCCATGACACCACTTCTTAGTTTGGCCGCCCCTTTTTTCAGTCTATGCTTGGGCAAGTGACCATCATGTGTCCTGGTAAGTTGTGTTTAGGCAAACATTATAAATGACCCAACCCCTTCAATCGATGAGGATTTACTACCTCGTTAAACCGTCTGCCACCTTTACCTAGTATCCTGGATCTAACCTCAGGAGTGATTACTTGATGGTCCCAACATATGCGAGCAATGCTTCTAATACATCGATAATCAAATAGTAATATCCTCTATTCTCAAAAGCTAAGTTCCCCATCCATATGTTAATACATCTCGAAATTATTCTCCATAAACCATTTAACCAAACAATCAAAATAATTAGAAACAGATTTTATACTTTTACTCACCTCCTTAATTCCATCTAAAACAATGATGAATCGATAACGCTGTTGTAACAACGGCCAAATAGTACTAGCCATAAGAGCTGTATTAGCAAAACTAAATACTACCATGTCTGCATCTGGTAGTGTCTCTACATCATCCCGATTATTAAAACGTGAACTTTTGAACCAAACAGACACTTGATATTCAGATGACCACTGACGATCAAAAGCAGCTAGATAATTGCCCCATCCAGCACATTGATCAATGGCAAAATAAACAATACGTTGAGTGAAACCACGACAACGTGCATATGCCAAATAAGCAGCTATATCTGGCCCGGGACCAACACCAATACTAATAATACGACTAACATGATCCCGTAAATAAACTTCAACGTCTGGATTTTCCGGTATAATTCGATAGACTAAAGCCTAAAGCGTAAAAATGAAAGAACGAAATCGAACTCATTGATGAAAAACAATGAATACATTTATTAATGCACATATGATTATGTGTAAATATTCAACTCCTACCTCCTCTACGTTCTAGATTCCAGCCTTGATACACTTATTCTAATGACGTAAACAGATCAGTAATGTAAGCCTTGATAGAGTAAAGGAGGACAAACTTTGAATCCAAGATCCTGTATTAGCAACACTCAGTGGTTGTTTGAAATATATCCATAACCCTTGTGTACAGTAGTCGCAAACAACAACTTCCCTTGAATATTTCACTTTTTGAAAACTAACAAATGAAATGAAGCTATAAACGATACGACAATAGATGTTACCAATATTATTGATATTACATACATATGTATCATCATACTTGTATACATGATACACGAAACATTTGTAAACAATAATAGATTGTTTATTATCTTTACTTTTAACAACTTCAATGATATCTTATGAATGTTGACATGTCATATTAAGTAGATATGTGTAACTTTCAACATAAGTATTATGCTAACAATAGATTCCTGATGATCTTATTAAAGGTTTACTTAGAAATGATTGATTCACTACAGCTTTACGGAACTAAAAAGTACCTAACTACGGCATGTATAAGTCTGCTGGTTTTCTTAAATCCTTAGTTCACTACAACAAAAACCACAATGTTCATAAAAATAAACAAAAAAACCCTCATTTAAAAAGATTGTACCTTTAAAAATTAATGGATAGATAGTTGATATAAAGGAAAATTTCACAGATTGAAATCATGAGTCAATTGAAGCTAGACCACCATTGAAAACCTGGAAGCACTGGACGGCCGTTTCGTCCTGGTATGGGACTCCTCAGTAGTGCGCATCCACGACCCCGCACCACGCGGGGCTCGAACCCAGGACCTACTGGCTTCGCGCGCGAGCACTTAACCATTAGACCACTGAGCCGGCAACCAACGGTGTTAATGTCTAACTTCAATCACATTTTTTAATCTTTTTTTTTGAAAATAAAGATATATTTAAGTTTCTTTTACCTGAAGGAAACTTGTAGAACTATTTATATAACGTTGTCGAGTGTAAGTGGCACGAAATGTATCGTTATCATAATAAGCTAGAAGGCATTCTTTACGACGTATTTTACCTGGTAAAATAAAAAAACGAAGAATCCTAGAGATTTAACCAATTTATAGAACTATATGAAACAAGAAGATAGAGAAGTATAACAGTTAATAAAGTTTTATTTGTAGGATTTGTATCAATTAGAGACTAAACATAACATAATCTACTCCCAAATGCCCTGGTACGGCCGAGAGTGAGGAAAGTTCGCTCTCCCCCTCCAAATGCTCTCAAATCGACACGCGTATATGGCCTCTGCCAGGGAAGTTCTACTCACTGCCTTCAAGCGACATCACTGTCTACGAAATTGAGAGGACGAAAACCGAATGTCTGGCGCTTTAACCGGGTTGGTGGACACATAGAGTTCACCTAGGGGAGTTGGAAAACCCTCATTCCAAACTAATGATGCACATGGGCTCCAGTATCCTAAGGAAACAAATGACGTATGAACGAACTATTGGTCACCGGTTACCATGGGACTGCATTTACTGACGCTGCTCCACTGCCTTGTGGATTAGACCTTTAGATCAAAGGCTCAGGGTGTGCTCTCTAAGAAAACCACGTGCTTCGGTCTGAACTCCAGGGCAGTATCATAGCCCACACATAAATCAAGTGACTTGTGTGGTGCATATGTATTCGGTGCCCCTTTGTACCAATATTTATATGTTCAAATAAATAATAACAGTGGATTTTGGGTAGGATCACCCGTTATTCGATTACTTTTAACAGTTAATTAGTTAGATAGCAACAAATGTCAACTTAAATTATGATTATCATGACACCGCTCTCCTCGTGGAAGTGACCTGGTCAATAAAGCGTCTGACGTCCAGTGTATAGGCGACACTATCTTATTGAGCAATTATATACTGATTGCATAAATAACGTTTAGTCAACCAGTAAAAAGTCCACACGGTACGCGTTTTATACCAATAAAAGAATTTTCAATTATGTTTACTCTAGATAGTGAACCATTGGGAAATGTAAAATATAGTAAGTCATAGGTAGTTTGTAATATTGAAAGGAGGATGGTATGACTTCTCCGTGCAACAAAAGCCATGGTAATATACACAAGCCTAAATCCCCTTTACGGTAGTAACAACATTAATTTGGCCAGAAAAGGTAATTTTATGCATTACTTTGCTTTTATGAACTCTAAAATTGACTGCTAGTAAAAATAGAGCCTGTAACGCCAGATCAAGATGCATATAAAAGGTTTTAAGCTAGAAACCAAATGACTAAAAGGCAATTTTTCAAGTCAATAAGCCACAACATTGTAACGTTTGGGCACATTCCCCGTTGTTCATCGACATGAAGTTATCTTACTACAAATAGATTAATGATCTGAATATATATACTATGGTAGACTCAGAACTTTTATATTGATTGTTTTCTGTTGCATATATATAGTCAGGGTGCACACGAAAAATAAATACAAAATTGAGTTTTAACAGTATTACCCCATTCTCTATAGAGACTTTGACCTCGTTGTTCACGATCGGATTTAAGTGTAGAGTTAAGTAACTTCTCTATTGGTTGATATAACTCCATTATTCGTTTGACTTCTTGAGCAAATTTAGCTCGTCTCTGAACACAGTTCTCCCATGCAGACCGGAGCTCTACATCTAACTCATCATCAGCAAGCTTTTGCTTTAAAAATCTCTCCCACCATGCCTCAACAGACTCATCCGACTCATTACTCCCAGCTTCTACTGTTCCCGTCATGAATGCACAATTCTGACTAAAGAAACAAGGATTAAGAAAACAGCACGAACGATATAATGGAATTGTTTTACTTATTTGAACACAATCATCACTACAAGGGGGCATTAAATACATAGCAATGGGGATTCGATGAGATAGAGAACACCCAATACGTAAAAATGTGATTCAATTTTTCCGTGTTATGTTATTCGGTAGTAGTACATTCTTGACTTTTTCAGTGTATATATGGCCAGCATTTTTATCGATAGCACAGTTGTTTGTCTGAGATAATGCATAGTTTGTTTCAGCTCAATTATTACTCTGACATTATTACTATTATTATCAAATTCTCTCCAATTTGGTAGGTATAGTTGGAGTTAGTAAACGATAGAACATTTATTTATTGAGTTACATTCTCATTCTCCCTGCTTCGGTTTAGGCATCCGGGGATTATTTCAGCCCTCACACAAATCGTTCGATTTGTGTGGCGCATATATATTTGGTGCTTCCCTGTATCAATCTTTATGTGTTTAAATAAATAAAACGTACCATATAAATGCCAGAATATATATATATATATATATATATATATATATGATAAGATAGTCAGTTACAAGTAAATCAAAAATGTGCGGTCGAACACAACGAAGTATGTTTGGTAAACGAGTTACATTAATTGAGTCGTCCTAAAGAATTAAGCATCTCACTGTTCAAACTGTATACGATGCATAAAGGCTTACAAGTTTATATATCTCTGAACCCCGAGGACGGATATTACAGTACTTTAATTATCTACTTTGGATCCAGAAAGCTAGTTACCAGATACAGAACACCCATAGTGTGGGATTCAAAAGCAAAAGTTCTCAAAACACGGTAACCTTTATAAATTATTTGCTAGTGCCTATTATATTAGCATAGAGAAGAATCAGATGCATGCGGACATTTTACCGACTGATGTGGAATAATTTAATACGTGACACTAGAAAGTCACTCAGTAAGTTACAACGTAAAACCTGCACGTATATATATATATATATATATATATATATATACTCCTAGTTGACTGAACTATAACGTTAACTATCAGTGAATGACATCCTAGATCTATTCTGTAAAGCCATTAGAAAATATATAGATACAGTTTTACAGAAAACATGTTTAAGAAACTAACTTTATGTTTATACACAGGAGAATTTAATTAGGGGTACAGAGCAGCTGATCAAACTGTGTGATGCCTTTCGGTCATAACAATGTAAAACAGCTTTGATGAAAGGCGGCACAAGTAAGAATGAAAGTGGGAACATTGTGATAGGAATTAAATCCGTGAATTTAGGTTAGTCGGTGTAAGAAATACACAGGTCAAGAAAAACCAATGGAATGAACAAAATTCGTTTTAAAAAATCACAGTGCTTATTACTTCCTCGTATTTGTAAGCCTTGTACACAAATTTGGACCTTTACATTCAAAGATCAAAGTTCGAAATAAGATTGAATGTTTTGATTACAAAGAGATGCACAGGGCTGATGTAGAAATTAAAATTTACAGCAATATCCTGACCACTTCGAGTCATTGGCTATAAGAAATCAGACAAAGGATTTCAAAGGCGAAAGTTTCGACTAAAGACTAAAAATAAAATCTCCGGAATGTTACTGGAAATGAAAAAGGTCACAATGTCAACAACATATGCTATTGACTAAGCTGTTCGAATGATTTACATAGGGTGGTGAAGCATGATGGAAGTGATAGAAGACTCAGTGGATAGATACGGATTTAAAACCACGCTTAAATGAAGGTGCTTTCAAATAAACTATGTCGTCAGCTTGAGTTAGCGTTAGCATACAGTTCCACCACACCTCGAATTCGAGATGTATGACATCAGATATCTGATATCATATGTTCATATATCGTACATAATTACATTAAGTCAAATCTATCATGGATATATTTATATATAGATTACTATATGATAATCAACAGTCACAACTAGCTAGGTTGCAAATATTAACTTCATGTGTATTGTATCTAAATCCCAATCTCCATATTTTGGTGAAAAGTTTATCCATTTTGTGGAAGTCACTATGAATAATTTTGGGTAAACGACACAAAAACTCCAAAAGCTTCCCCAGGTTCGAAGAAATTTCCCCAAAATTTGGGGAAAGCTGCTAAGTGTTATTGGATATTGGGGAAAAGCCCGAAAATTCCCCAAAACAGAGAGAATGAGATGACAGTAGGTCCCGATCCCCCGATTCTGAATAAAATTCGAGATTTTCCACATATCCGAAAGAAAGTTGGCAGTTTTTCACGAGGTTTGGGGAAAAACCCCAGTGTTATAAAATTCTGGAGAGATATTTCCCGAAAACTTTAGGGACTTTCCCCAAACCTGGGAAAATTTTGGGGTTTTGTAACATTTCCATAAAACTTCCCTGAATTTTTCATTGCGGCTTCCCCAAAATCCACCCAAAACGGACGAAATTTATTTTAAAAAAGGGGGATCGCGATATATGCATATATCTAGTGTGAAAACAGTGAGAATGCCATGGATTAAACGTTAATACTTAGCTGGAAAAATCTGTAGTCTCTTGAAAAAAGTGGTGTTAGACATTCAGCTCCATTATATTAACTCAGAAAGTCTTCTAATTGAAAAATGTGGAATTACATAAAAGGCGCGTATACACACCTGGTCACGACCTTCGGTAGGACAAAACGGCTTGCACTATCCAATAACTTTGGAGCTACATGGTTTGAACTACCTGATTTCTATACCCCTGGATCTTCAGGCTGTCTCAAATTTTTAAATGTGTCAAAAGAAGTTTATTTTAGCCACTAAGCTGCACTATTTCAAGTTGTGAATATTAATGTGTTTAATGTTTCCATTTTACTCCATTGTCTCACAGCAATATGGTATTGCTGGGATCAGTGAAGATTACATGAAATTTCCGCATCTGTCTTTTCAGGCGATAAGCAGTGTTGTTTCCTTATGGTTATCTCGCATCCTTTTGAAACAGTCTACTGACTTGAACATCTGGCCTTACTTGGACCAATATAAACTGATTTGTAATCACAAATGAATGCATTCTACTTCTGTCCCCATAAGCTTTGTTTCATAAGCCAGTACCAATTTGCATAGCGTTTCTCGTCACTTGCTTCCAAATACTCATGTCTTTTATCCCAGTAATGGAAACAGCGAGTATAGATTTGCAGAGTGAGACAGCACTTGCATTTTAAACTATTCTAAGAGCAGTTGAGAGATGGTCAATTTGAGCTGTTCATGAAAAAGTTGAACAATAGCATAGGCCCTATTTACTTCATCTGAGCAACGAAAGGTGGGGGTTGATCATTGTACTTGAAATATGCCTAGGTTAAGTTTTGTCAAGACATCTGGAAGCGACGATTTCAAACGTGTCCACTACGTCGTGCGAGCGTGTAGGTATATGACGTGGTATTTAGCAAGATTGAATTTCAGGCCAGACGACATGTGACACATTTTTGCTGATTGTGGAACGATGAAGGACACAGTAAAGCTCCCAGGAAAACTCCGAATCCCAAGGCTCTTCAACTAACATGTATTCCAAGTCCTTGCGCCACTCAGTCACAAATTCTTTGGAACCACACAGTAAATTTCTCAAAGAAGATTGATAATCCATCAGAAGAACTGATGATGTTACGCTGCTCATGTTAACTGCTCACTCAAATAAACAAGAACTGAAAAGCTCTGTTATCTTCAATATATCTTCAATATCTTTGTCACGAGCTTGTATAATCCTACTGATTTCTTTGCTAACACTTCTCACTTGTTCGGTACTGTTCCAGGTATTCTACTTAACGACACTAATTTTAGTTTGTTTTTTGTTATTTGTGAACATGCTTGTCTTTTAATTTAAGTACGTGGTTTTGTTTCAGGGCAGGTATGCTTATGGACGTCAGCAATTTTCACACTACCAGGTAAGAGGTTGGCTTGTCGCAGTGTGATAATAATAACGTGATGATTTAAATGATAAGAGATGTTCTTTCCAAGAATAATTGCTTCTTTTACGCATTTGATAATGTGTAGGAAGACGGAATCGATAGAAGAAGAAGGAAACGGAGAGAATTATCAGAGAAATAGGAACTGGCTACTGGTTATGATTAGTGTTAACCTTGGCAAATTACGTGACATGCATCTGGGACAGTTGGTTCAAAAGAGAAATGATAAGCCATGAGTGAGTACGTATTCATCCAAACTCTCATTAAACCTATCTACTAAGTGGTTGTAGTCACGTCGGGTGTGAGAGCATTACAAATGCAAATACGAGAAAAATCGGGTGCGTATTTGAGTGTCTGCTCTTTGGTGGACAGCTTCTCGAGGCTTGCTTCGAGGAATAAACGATCATTAGAAACATTGAACTTAATAGGATGGGAATCACAAAGTTTAGCATTACTTGCAGTGAAGTGAATAGTAGCTTTACAAACTACCCGTTTGTGTTCAATTTTACCACATTTAAAGCATTTAGCATTACGAAATACATGTGAATTAAATGAGTGAAATTTGGCACAAAATAAACATTTACCAAACGTTTGCTCATCTTCATGACCTGCTACACACTCCTCGATCAAATGTTTTCTGCAGACCCTCGAGTACGCATTATATTCGGTGACGTTTTTCTTCTTTACCGCGTTGGAAATTTGTACACTCTAGATGATCTAGTAGCAATTCTTTTAGAGTTGCATAGGAAAGCGAAATTAGTTTTTTTGAGAATGTTAAAATGTTTAGTATAACTTCCTTAAACAGTTACCAAGAATTCAAATTCCTTAGGCTTTCTCATCTTCGAAAAAAGACATTAATCTTCAGCACAACTTATATTCGATAATCGTGAATTTATGTATGAAAATATGACGACAGATAAGAAAACTTCATCATGTGACACATTTTCAGGTAGTGATCGTCCAATTATGCTGAACATTTCTAACTCAACGCCTTCGATTCGTTGCACACTTTATCGTTCAAATATTTTTCCTCGCTGAGTTAATTTCAGTGTTTTGGTAGTGTATCACTCATCAATATTACTGTTTTTACGCTGATTGAATGTATTTCAATTAGAGTATCTGCCAGAAGTATTGTTCTTGTTACTTTTGAATACATTGGTTGTTTTTGCATTTGCTTGCACATTTTGTTCTAACAATTTACAGTTTTCACTATTCGTGACCATCGGTTTCTCTTGTCTGTGGGTATTGTTTGTGTCTAGTTTCCGTCGGAAAGCCTCTAATTGATGGCTAGATAGTGCACTAAAAGCAATTGCCAACGTCCAGGCTGTCGAAACACTGTGGAAAATAGCATGTATTTTGTTGAGAACAAAAGACGGTTTCGTAAAATTATAGTCTAATTCGATATTGGTACATTTGTCTTAGGTACAATAACTACAGACTTGATCCCATAATTTTAGATATGTCATGATGTCACTACATAATCTTACATGAAAGTCACATCATGGTTTACACTGACTCGTTCTATCGTGACAATCAGCAAAGTGACTGTTTTTTGACTTTGCATAAATTATTATTTCGTCTTAAACCCAAGTGCTGAGTACATGCGGCAAGCCCCTGCCTCGAAAGAGATAGTGAGCTGTTGGTAAAGTCTCGAAGAAGCGTAACCAAGTTGATTTCTGTAATAACAGAGCTTCTGTACGATGTTCGACTGGCTAAAATAAAACAATTTCCATCATCGTATAGAATAAGTGAAGGCAAATTGATCACAGATTTAAAGTTACCTGGGAATAAATTTGCATCTGATGTGATAACACTTTTCTTGTCTTCCGAAACAAGGAATTTACAAGGACAGTAAAAATATTCACAAGTTCAGAACAAGTTACTTGTTAGTTGACAATCGACTTTCCCATAGAACCATAAAGAAATGGAATTCATCGGAATTTTCAAAGAAACATGGGTCGACTGAGAGATGACTATTGTCAGAACCAACATGGGCCACCAAACCTCTTACCTTTTCAGAAATGGAACTGAAACTATTGTAAGCAGACGTGGATGGTGGCTTGCTGTTGAATCGGCGAGACTCTAATTTATGAACGAGCCAATCAGAGGCGTCTTAGAGATTTCAAGGTTACAGCGCCAACTTTAATGCCTAATGCTAACGTACTTTCGATTCATAGGCAATTTTATACAAAACGTGATAATTGAACGACTGTAACAAATAAAACGGCGAGACTGTAATTTGTGGACGAATCAATCAGTTATAAGATAATAGATCTCGGATTTTAACGCGAAAGCCTTTTATCCATTTGGCTAGATAGTTTTCTGGCATTATAGCTGATGTCAGTTCGTGATGAAAAACACCATATATAATTCCTAACTAAGGCAAATTACGACAATTATTGCGAACTGGATAATAAAAGCACCAGTAACACTGGCTGCAGCCAGGTATTACAATATATATGGATGTTTGGAGGGCGTGCAGACTCCTTCATAGGCTTGGTTATGTGCATCTTGTCGTTATCCACGACTGGCATTTTGTTCACCCAACAACTGAAATGCACATAATCAATATTGAAGCTATGTGGTCGAGGCTGAAAGAATTTTTGAGACCTTATCATGTCTCCAGAGGCCGACTATCCTGTAGCCGCCGTACGGATGATTCCATCTACTTCATGCATTACGATTTTAGAACCTATGAGCCTCTTTCTAACCATAACAAGTTTTTGAACCATGTCAAGAAGTGTATCCACTTTACTTCCTTGGTTTTTTATAACATCTTTTCACTCTTTACTGACTGATGACTGGCTAATATTTCTCAAGGTCACTCAAGATTCGTTCAAAGGTCGTCCATAAATTAGAGTCTCGCCCCGTTCGCTTCAAACGTCATCGCGTTATCCACAAAGCTACTGACTACAGGTAGCCACTAACTTATGTAGGACGAAACGACTGTCCTGAATTCCACTGCTAGTCACGATCACACCGCTCATATTGCTTGTGAATTGAGTTATTATTAAGGCGTCCCACAGAATGCACATATGCTAATAAGACTGAACAGTTGCAGTACCAAAAATCAGTGGGACAATTAGAATAACCAACACGGAAATGAATTGAAACTGAAACTGATAGCAACCACAAATCCTACATCAGACTGACGTTGCCAACCTGATACGAATGAAGATGCGAGTGATTCGTCACGCTCCTGTGTAAACTGTCAGACATCTGAAATTATTGGACACAACAGGTATCGCTTAAGCTCTTCCAAAACTCCCGACAGTCGTTTCAGTCATTTTCATCTTGACTTAGTAGGACCCTTAATAGATTCAAATGGACACTTACCTCAACGTATGTAGACAGTTTCACACGATGACCGTCAAGATCATTGCTTTTGAAACAGCGACCCGCCCCTTCGTCGAACAGTGAGAGGCAAACTTCAGATGCTCTTCAACTGTCACTACAGACTATAGACACTGATTCCAATCCTGACTGTTCCTTTATCTTACTTGAATACTAGAAATCACACAATAATAAACGATCACACATCACTCACAACGATTTCAGCGATAGTCAAAAGCTTCACTCCCAGCTGTTAACGTTTCATAATGAACTGACACTCTCTCAGTCGTAACACTCGGTGTTCGCAATTCAGTGGAAGCTGATGTTGGATACACTGAAACACGATTCGTTCATGGAACGACACCCCAACTTTCGGGCTTACGAACGACATAAGTTCAGTTAAACCCGTTTCCACCTGACTGCTGGGCAACCGCAGTTTTTGTTTATCTTGCCTCACGACAGTACACACCTCGTGTGAATATCGAAATGGTATTCGAATGGACCCTCAAAGTCCATCGCAAACCTGAATACTACATCATCTATAAAAACGGAACAAACAAGAACGTCAGCACTGACAGTCTTAAAGCCTCTTATTTAGAAGAAAACCGTTTTACTGCTGATTTTCCTCCTTTACATTTGAACGACATGAGCCTCAGATCTACGACGTCTTCCCTTATAATCAACAACCACGATGAAACTTTGCCGGTATCCCAAACCCTGATCAAAGCAACGCGCTCTGAAAGAAGGGTAATGTTTCTGGAATACCTAAACGACTACCGAGTGTAGGACAATCAATAACATTTTGTTTGATCTCTTTTCTTTGTGTTTTTGTGCTGAAATAAAAACATTTTTTCACTGATATACTCATTTATATTTATACTTTTCCTTGAAAAATCCAAATAAATATCAATATGGAAAATTTTTTACCTAGCGCGTAATCTTTACTTTTTTTTTAACGCATTCCTTGTTTCCATGCACGTACGAGTGTAGTTCATTAAGGATGTATAACATCTTTTTTTGTTTTTACGGACCGGCATTTTCATTGTACATTTTCTCCATTGCTATATCGCACTGCATAGCACTTTACATACGATATGGGAAACCAGATAATGCTGAACATAACAAGCTTTTAGAAGAGTCCTTACCAACGACAAGCTGGTTGAGTTGAAACTTACAGCTGACCACGTCTTGGAGTCATCAATACCCTATGAGGGGGGGGGGCAAGATGTATCGGTAAACCGATCCCCAAAATGAATAGTTTTGTGGTCTTCGACACCGATGATGACTTAATTGTCTTGGACCAACGTACTCTAGATGAAGATGATCGGTCACGCAGCAGTATCAGATCACGAATGAGTACGCCGTGCTACGCATCCCTTGCAACTGCTAGCCGACTTAAACGAAGCGCTTCTTGACACATTGAAGGCTCTCTAACCATACTTTTGAACCCCTTCATTTCTGACCTCTGACTTAACTGTGTAGCTGTGCGTCGATTATTAAACTGTTACCTATGGAGGATTTGTTAATAACCGAATACCTGTGACTGCTTTCTTCATATTATGTTTGCTTGTTGATGCTTCTGATACTTACTGCCTGCCAGCAAAAGATTACTCGTTGAACGAAAATACTTGGATTTTTATGAAGTTTCTTTTTTCTCACTAGCTCAACTAAATACTGAAAATTTAAAGCATATGCTCAAGCGAAAATTATGTGATGTCCTATCAAGCCAAATATCTACTTGCTCCTTATCGTAGATCACTCGTTTACTTCATGGGAATTGATGGTTTATCAACTGGAGCTTCACCAAGTTTTGATTCTTGTTGTGATGTATCAAACCGGTATGTTTGTTTAGTTGGAGCGTTGGTTGTGAAACTCTAACAGCGCGTAACACGGTTAGCCGATTATGAGGTTGGTTGTTCTTTGACTATTTCTTCGTAACTGCTTGGTTCAAATATCTATTGTCTTGCACAAAAATTTCCGCTTTGATTTATCTTTATTCACTGATTGTTTCTAACGATAATGTTTCGTCAAGTTGTCATCAATTTCATGAGTATATTTTAGGGAGCACTTTCGTGGAACAAGACAATATGTAAAACGTGAATTCAACTCTAGGGTTCATCTTGCCACTTAATTTTACGGGTGTAAATCAATACGACATATGTCAGCTTTCTTTATCCATGTTGTCCGCTGCTCGAATATTAAGTGTCATACTAATGGAGAGTGGTTTTTAGAATCGTTAATAAATAATTTTGATGTTTTCTGTCCTTTTTTTGTATCCTGTATTATATTTGCTTTGCCCTGGAACATTGGCGCACGCGGTTTCACTCTGTATCTTGAAGCTAAGTCTAAATCACTCGTCTCAACCCGGTGAGAATATAATGTGTGGATGACCTTTGAGAGACTCTTAATTAACGCCTAGAAAATTCAATTACCTACTAGAAGATGGTTTAAGCTGAGCTTGAGGATTGAGGATTAGGATTGAGCATTAGAACTTTGACTTCTGATCCTTTAGGGTTAGGAATTTAAGGTAGGGTATGAGTCTCGAACTGAGATCAGCCATAATGTCGAAATGTTATTTAGCTACATAAATGAACAAGTCTAAGAGTTACTGCTTTTGATTCCATTGATTCGTCAGTAGTTTGTAGTCTCATCCATAGCACGCTGATGGACATTTAATGTCCCTCATGACCATTTTAGACATGCTACTTTCAAATGGTTCATTCAAGAAACTATTACTGGAGAATAGGGGATTGTGTTTTTGATTTTATAGCCTCTCTAAGAATTCTAATTATTTGACCGTTCACATGGTCAAAATTGTGGGTGAGTGCCTTAAATATCATTGCAATGAAACGGCTTGACAATGCCGGTGTAAGGAAAATAAGATAATTAAGTTTCACAATAGATTGTATAAGTTGTCAATCTGTAACCGATGGAGGTGTCTAAAGCAGCATGATCCTTGATAGTTATTCTGAAATGGAGGATACAAACCTAATATTGCTCATGCAATAAAAACCAAGGTTTGTATTTGAATAGCTTTATCTAGATGTCTTGATTGAAAAAGGGAAAGTCTCAAAACCAGTTTGCTAAGTTCGGAGTAAAACGAAAGAAAGTATTGGCAAATTTTGAAACAAAATACGCCTAGCATCTTATCATTTAATAAAATGTGTTTTTAACAACTGAGTAAACCCAGTGATTTATTAAGGTATAACTATTGCTGCGATAGCACTTTGTGACGAATTAGTTATCGTTATCGTTTTATTGGTTTCAATTCTCGAACTAAATTTAAATGAAAACATTTGAAGTGTTTAGTTTCTTGTGCTTTCCATCGGCTAACGCACTGTCCAAATAATTGCGAATGGAATCAATCTAAGTACATTATGTGTACATAGGATTCAAGTGAGACATGGAACGATGAAGTATTTGAGGATCTTGACCTCTGAAGACTTCCATTGGTATTCTGGGTGATGGACATAGATGTAAGACAAGTGCATATTATCGCAAATGAGAAGTGTTTTGAATTAACTTATTTTGAAATATAGTTCCTATGGATTCAGTGTATTTACTGATGATGATACGTAAATATGTAACTATGGTGACTGAAAAGCTTACTAAAATAATAGTACGTTGACTACAAATCTTCAAATTGTGTAACCCATTACTGAGGATAATTTTTATAGTTATGCCTCTCTCTACAAATCAGATATTTTTTGAAGTCGTGTGTGCAGATAGAAATCAGTTAGCGTTTGCAGGCGTATATTTAGATATATATCGAACTTCTGATAAACATAAACATATGCCTTTTGTAATATGGTCTATGCTAATATTATCCTCGTCATCTCTGAGCACTGTTGCAACTCTATACTATCGTCCTTATTTTTAACCGTTTTTACTTCCTCTCTTTTGTGTTCGTTACTGAATCTATCAGATAGTTCATCTGATCAAGTGATCATTGCAAAATGAACCGTTTTTAGACATCGAGGAAACTATTTTTATATTCAACTTATATATAAATGCATTGAATATAAATAGTTGCATGTTAAATCTCCAAAAAATGTTTAGCAACTAGGTCAGTTAAGCAACGCAGAACCTGGCACATGTTTATATTGATCCAAGTCGCCATACCTTATAAGCACAGCGAGATAAAACTATCAGGAAAAATCCCAGAATGGTGCAGTTAGTAACAGTATTAGTAGTAGTAGAACAGGACTGGCATCAAATATACATTTCAAAAAATTTTAATTAGTGGAAAAATGTACGACGAATTTAGATATTTAGGATCTAAGAAAAGAAAAAAAGAGTGAATGGGACCCCTTTGGAAATCGCTTTTCCTAACTTTTCCTACTTTTAACTTAAACAGAACAGTTTAACACTTTATATAAGGTTCATTTTAACAAAATTAGGAACAGTACTAAAAGCAGCTAGGAGGTCTCAAAGCTACAAATTAGCCAAGGAAGAGATACTCGTAATGATGCTTAACAATTAGAATATTGGAGTTGAACTCAGCTGATTAATTATGATGGATTTCAAACCAACTAGTTTATTACTTCTATCCCCTCTTGTGATATGAGGTACGATTATAAAGAAACTACAACAAAGTTGCACGTGATTGTTGAAAATCTGTTGAGAGTGGGTGTACATCCATCGTTTGGTAAGGTTACCAAAATATCAACAGACTCTTGCCGCATTAGTGAAAGGTCTTGTAAGATTTACGGCCAATTTGAGTCAGTAAGTAAATAAAAGTTGTTGACCAGGTTACACTGCAGTTCTCTTCTGGAGAACCAAATATTTAAAACACACCATGCAAGTTGATTAACATAGTAAAAGGTATCGTGAATCAATTTTTATACACTCCTAAAATACGTAGCTCGATTTTTATATCTTGTTAGTCAATGCTAAGTCAAAGTAGGTGCTTTTAAAGTTCTAGTTTCACTCAGTTGTATATATACATCGTCATTGATACCTTGTCACCGAATATCTCATTTTCGTTTTATTTCCATCTGACAGGTGATTCAACAAAATACCCTGCATACTCCTTAAGGATACTATTTTGTCAAACCTTTAAATATTTTATTATTCATGTATTTTAATTTGTGTAACACAAAATATGGGAAATCATACAGTTAATGAAGTCACCAACTTTTTTGAACGTGGCAGTGATGTCGAAGATGATATAAACACTTTAGCATCTACTAATACACATATTACGGAGAATAATCAATCCGTCTTGGTATCTTCTACATCGGACACATTTTTAGTTCCTCCTTTGCCTCCGCATAATCTAGGACATGATAAATCATTATCCTCTTCATCCATTTCAACACCTAATGTGGACAATATCAACACAAAACGACATACTGATTCTGTGATGCTTCGAAGTGATCATAAAGAGTCTTCTCAGGTAATCACTTCAGCCATTGATGGACAGGTGAAATCTATCAATGAAATGTTATCCTACTTTTCTAAATTAGTCAAAGCTGAAAAAACTGTTCAACAGGCTCTGTCCGATTTACTTGATGATCAAATGGAATCATCCGCTGTTGGCGGTGTTGGTGGTGGTGGCCAGCGTTCGAATACCACCACTATGCGTAATTTATTTAAAGCAAATTATTCTCGTGGACGTCGTCGTCGTTTAACCATGAATATCTTGAACAAAAATTTATCTAATTCATCTACTGATAGTGAATTAAATAAAGTAAGTTCAGTGATAACCTAGTATTGCCAGTTTTTGTCAGTAGAAACAAGTTATAAAAATATAATTTAATAGTTGAATTCATGATTCACTTGAAGCTAGACCACCATGGAAAATCTGGAAGCACTAGACAGCCATTTCGTCTTATTATAGGACTCCTCAGCAGCGCATACCCACGATCTCGTTCAATTTCGTGGATTAGTCGAAGTTAGACATTAACACCGCTAGCCTAGCTTCAATTGACTCATGAATTCAACTATTAAATTACTATAATATCCACAAAAACCCTTCTTTGATTATAAAAATATAATTGTTGAAGTTTTATAAGTATTCTGGTTTACAATGACATTTAGACAGATGACTCCTAAATCTTTAACTCTATTAAACTTATTGGCTTGTGGTTTATTCAATAGAGTAAATGTAAATATCAATGTAACTTTTTGATAAGCACAAGCTCTATGAACTCATCTTTTTTAATATGTAATCAATATCTCTTTATATTATAATAGCTTCTTAATCACTGGTTAAATGATATAATCATTCCATTTATTAAAGTTTGTAGTTATTAAGTTCTATTTACCTTATAAAGAATCTATTTCAAATATAGATTAGTACGATGGTAAAAGTAAATTGTACTAGACAATACCAATTAACGATAATTGCAGTTGCTCTCTGTGGTATCACATGTTTCATGAGGTTACAGAAATAGCAAGTGACATCATCTAGTCTGTGACTATAAAGAAAAATCATTAATCAAGAACAATAAAACCTTTTAAGTTAACTTAAAATTGAAGTCGGTAAATTTACATTGTTTAACCACTGACCAATGTGGTGTTTATCTAGTCTTCTATGTTGATTGAATTTTATCGGTTAACATGCAATGTAGCCACTGGTCTGAATGACTGACTGGATATCACGTGAACTATGCTTGAACGTTAGTTAGTTTTAGATAATCACATGAAAACCTTGAATGTCTTAAAATATAAAGGTAGGACCATCAATTCCCTCAAGATTGGAGGTATGCCTTGTTGTGCAAACTGGTAAAAACCATGGTTCAATGTTTTCTGCTCTGCTACTTTTAACTACATAGCATTCAGGAAGTGTTTCCAAGATATTCGGTGCTAATTCCAACTAAAGATTAAATTTACTCAAAACAATTAGTCACTTTGATAAAATTTGATAATGCAATGAGAAGACGAAGTTTATCAGAATTATATGTTATATTTGCGTAATGCATTTCGAACAGTCTGATCACACATATACTTGTTAAGACATTTTTCTATGAAAATTAGGTCAACTAGACAAGTTAAAGGTAAGCTGTAACAAAGAAAAATAAAGTATACAAAAACAATGTGATGACCACTCTGGATAATCAATCAGTATTACCAGGGTAGGTTAAGGGTAAGGACAAATTGTTTTTGAACGCATAAAGGGGGTTTTAGTTTCCGTATAGCCAAGGCCTCAATAAACTTGAGTATACATCCTTGAAGGCTTTTGTACAACACTACAAATGCTGACTTGATGTCAACCTTATGACCAGTCTCAATTAAATGTTTCGTATTCAGTTGAGTTTTTCAACCCGAAACATAAAGTAGTTAAATTAATCCCTTATCAATAGATAGTTTTTGCTCTCTTTAAGATAATAAAGAGAACTATGTATATGGAGTCTAGACATTGTTGACTTCTATTGAAACCACTTCTTTTCGGTTATATGAATTAAGACTTGGTTTTTTCGTGTGTGGAAAGGATCGCCCAGGACAGAGTTGGATGGAGAGTGCTGGTAGGCGGCCTATGCTCCTCCACGAGGAGTAACAGGCGTGGGGGAAAAAGGTTATTTTGTGTGTGTATGAGTGTGATATGCTTTTTTGTTACATCTAACTCTTTAATTATTACTATTGTCTTCAGCTTTTACAAAATCTTGTCATTTCAACAAATCATCAAGCACGTATGTATTCAACACGTGCATTATTTCATAAATTAATCACTGCTGGACAATTAGATAGTTTAAATAATTGTGAACAATGTTTGAGACGAACTTATCTAGAATGTGAAGAAGAATTGAAATCACAAGCACGTCAGGTATGTTTTAATTTATTGTATTCCAAGTTTATCTATGATATATAGTCCCTTCTTGACTATTTCTTATTCTATACTACTCATTTCATGGCTTTATTCGTTTGTTTTATGACTTTGTTTCTTGCATTTATATTTTTTACTGTCATCAGTATAGTGATTTTGACTTATTCTCTGTTGATTGTAGTAATTTTCTCACTGGCTATGTTAATACCTAATGTATCATCTAAGAGTAGAGGATACTCGTAAATTAGCAGTATTTGATCACAGCTGTTTTAGAAATATTACCAGCATCTGTTGGAATCATCGGGTAAGTAATGGTGAGGTTAGACGCATGATATTAGGGAATGGTGGTAAATTAGTCGATGAGGTTGGGAATCTTCATTAACTGAAATGGTTGGGCCACGTATTCCATATGCCTGAACACCGGTTACCACAACGTGCAATGTTGACTAGTGTTGAGGACTGATGGAAGAAAGTGAGAGGCGGCCAAACCTTGAAGTCACTAACGTCTGAACTGAGCCATATTGGTAGATACAGACTACTTGGTCGGGGTCTACATAACTATGGCACCCAATGGTTGGAGACTCTGCATGGCATGGCTCATAATCGATCACAATGGCATCGGTGTATACACTCTTTGTCTTCCCTTAAACCGTGAGATTAAAATTGCTTTATACCTTTATTTCTACGAACTAATTCTTTCTCCCTGTATCATATCCTTATATGAAGTCTGATTTTTACTACAATTGAAGTAACTACTTCTATGAATTTGGTGTTGATTTTGTTGTGCTAATGAGGTATGAAAACTTGGACCGATGCATATATGTGCCTGGTCTTACGTTGTCGCTGACTGAATGACTGACTGATTGTCATTTGAGATCTGTACATTTTTGTGTACGGTAGTACATTGTTTACTGTGGAGTGGCTCGAAGATTGAAACATTCGAATTTAAGCCACGAAGTCAGGAATTGGAACCCCGATCTACTTACATTGGTTTGAGCCATGTTGGTAGATGCAGACTACTTGGTTGGGGTCCGCGTGACTTTCGTAACCAATGGTTGGAGACTCTTGGTGACATGGCTCAGAATCGATCACAATGGCGTCGGTGTATACACTCCCTGTCTTCCCTTAAATTAAGAGACTAAAATCACTTCATTCTTTCTGTCCACGAACTAATTCTTTCTTCCTATACTATATCCTTATTGCAACCTTTGACCTAACCACTCCTATGAATCCGCTGTTCATCTTGCTGTGCTAATGAGGTATGGCAACCTGGACCGATGCACATATGTGCCTGGTCCTACGTTGTAGCTGACTGACTGACTGACTACATTGGTTTGAGGAATCAGGTGGTATCACTAGCTTCATACTTATGTTGTGAACTTGTAAACGAGTTGTATTCAGCAATTCGTTTATGATCGAGTAAGATTAACAGTTAACTTAGAGTATAGAGTTTTTATGCATGCTTTCCTTCATTTAATCATAACGTAGAATTTAGCACAGCCATTAACTAGTTGAAGTTCTCTCATTTCCCCTCGATCATAGTAGGGAACTATTAGTGTCTTCATAAATCTATCAACAAACCATTTTTACTTATTCATTAATGAGTAATTATGAGATGGGTTGCATTGCGAGTTTGTAACTAGTAGCTTTCACTCATGTGTGGGTAATAGCATTTACCGTCTGATGGGATTAGGTCATTGTAGTTCTATTTCGCGAATCGATTGAAGTTGGCCGTGTGGAAAATTTTGTCCAAACCCATTGGTTTAAATATTATGTACTTACCTCGAAGCAACCTCTGACCGGTGTCATAGGTGTAGAACGTTGAGGAGTCATGTGTTGTAATGAAACAGGTACTTAGTAGCTCTTGTCTTTCAACTAATGTTTAACTGACAATGTCAGTCAGCATTGTAAACCGTCTTTAAAACTAAACTATTCTCGACAAATCTCTCGATCAAATTTTGGACAATATATATTTAAGAGAGTAAATAGAACCGATGAAATTTAAAAGTACAACACAATATACAAACTTGAGATGATTTAGGAAAAGAGAAAAAAATAAGTTGACTTATGTCGCTGTGTCATTGATTTTCAACCATATCGTTCGATCACTTTGTCGCGGTTATTTCATGAATCTAATCTATGTAGTGCTTATCAATTCATTTAGGTTAGATCAAAAGTTCTCGTTTTCATTTTAACCTTCTATGCATTTCCAGTCTTTACATACATGGTTAGTTTGTTTAGTATAATAGGATCCCGACCGTTGTTGAGTCGTGTGTGACCGACCTCAAGCAGTTGTCCTTTGCGCACTGCAGTCACACTTTCAGGTCATTAAGACCACTTCTAATCCAATTTCCTTCTCACGTACCTCCAGAAGAACCCTTCCACGGTGTGGACCTCATACCTCTAACAGCACTCAAGATCACTAAATAGGGTACCTTTCCATAACGTATTAATACATGTTGTCAAATAATTAGGCATGTAGTATGTTAATTCTAGAAATCATAACAATTACTTTCCATGGGTGTGGTGAACATTACTTACTGAAGTTAGGATTGAATGGGAAAAACGCCCATCTGAGATAAGATGAATAGATGTGTGTTTTTTTTTAAAAAAAGGAATCGTTTAGGTCATTAAAATTAGAGGGTTGGTTTAGAAACGATCATATAACTGATGATTTTAGATTTGATAAGGTTGTTTACCATTGAATTCATTATGATTTCTAATTGAATTTTATATAGTCTACTTTCATAATGTCTCATATTAGGAAATTCCATGTGTTAAAATGAATAAATAAACACTTTGTTAGGGTAACTTTTTCTATGAGTAGGTATGTATCAGATTTTCATCAATAATCAACTGATTTTAAAATACACACTAACTTGATTTAAGAAAAAAAATATGCATGTATAAGACTTGAAGAACTTACACCTGAAGCCCTAACACCAAAGTCACAATTTTCAATACAAATGTCAAGACAGTTCTACTGTATGGGACGGAAACTTGGAGAACCACTAAAGCCATCATCCAGAAGAAACAAATGTTCATTAACAGTTTTCTACGCAAAATATTTTGGATTCTTTGGCCAAACACTATCAGCAACAACTCATTATGAGAGAGATCAAACCAAATCCCAGTATAGGACGACATCAGAATGAATCGCTTTGAGTGGATAGGACACATATTAAGGGAAGCACCCAACTGCATCACTGGGCAAGCCCTCACCTGTAACCCTGAATACCAAAGGAGGAGAGGAAGATCAGAGAACACATTACACGTAGGAAAGACACTGCAACGAAACCTCTTAGGGGCCTACTTAATGATAGTCAAGCTAAGAGTATATTTCAGGAACAACTAGGAAAACAGTTAGGCAGCCATGTATATGATGCCCAGCCCGATGCAGCATGGAATGATATCCGAAAAGCTGTGGAAACAGCAGTGATATCTGCTAGTAAGGTAAACCAGAAGGTTAGGGAGCAACACTGGATCTCAGCAGCATCTATCACACTGATAGATGCTCGGAAACTCATTTCACCTGTCTCTGAACATAATGAAGAGCGGAGTCAGCTTAAGCACAAGCTGAAAAGAAGCCTACGCAATGATCGCGAACAGTGGTGGGTAGCGAAAGCGAGAGAGATGGAAAAGGCAGCGGCAATAGGTAATAGCAGACAATTGTTCAGACTCGTTAAGGAAACCGGAATTAGGAACCCGATTGTTAGCGAAACTGTCCCAGAGAAAGATGGACATATACATTCTCAATCCAGGAGATTGGATCGATGGGCAGAACACTTTAGGGATCAGTTCAACTGGCCTTCAGCCACAATTCGGTTTCCCACGATCTCTAGTCAACCTGAATGGCAAGTTAATGTAGGTCCTCCGTCCCTTTACGAAGTTGAAAAAGCCATAGGAAATCTGAAACGAGGGAGAGCAGCAGGCCCTGACAGGTTTACTCCTGAGACTTTTAAGGATGGTGGTCCAGTATTAGCAATGAGATTAACCGAGGTCTTAGGTAGAATTTGGGAACTGGACGTAATCCCATCTGACTGGTCTCAATCACTGATTGTGCCAGTCTATAAGAAAGGACAAAAGTCCTCTTGTGACAATCACAGAGGAATCAGTTTGACTAATATAGTGTCTAAAATATTAGCTTCAATAATACTTCGACGCCTAACTAAAGCTCGTGAAGAGCAGACTAGAGAAAATCAGGCTGGTTTTCGACCTGGACGTGGTTGTATAGACCAGATATTCACACTACGTCAGGTTCTAGAACACAGACACACATTCAGACGCCCCACAATGGTAGTATTTCTCGACCTTAAGGCGGTATTCGACTCTGTTGATCGTGAGGTTTTATGGCAGTGTTTGTCACTGATAGGAGTACCAAAGAAGTACATTAACCTTATAAAGGCTCTCTACTCGACCACAACTGGTCGAGTGAGAACTTATGGCGAACCGTCACCAGAATTGATTATCTCAAGTGGTGTTCGTCAGGGCTGTCCACTCTCTCCATTCTTGTTCAACTTTGTCGTTGACGTACTTTTAGAGATAACACTCTCCTCATCTAAATTTCCAGGGGTTGAACTTCTACCTGGAGGTTCACTTGTTGACTTAGAATATGCAGATGACATAGTTTTATTTGGTGAAGACGCTGACGAAATGCAGTCTTCTGACCACTCTAAGCAACAATGCAAGCATGTTCGGGATGCGATTCTCCCCCTCGAAATGCAAAATGTTGCTTCACGATTGGGTTGCATTAACACCCGAACTAGTGATAGGAAGTGAAGTAGTTGAGTGTGTCGACCGCTTCACTTATCTTGGAAGTCTCATCAGCCCTTGTGGTCTGGTGTGTGACGAAATCTCAGCACGGATACAGAAGGCTCAACTAGCTTTTGCCAACTTACGTCATTTATGCAATAGTCGAGATTCCTGTCTATCAACTGAAGGACGTGTTTACTGCGCAGCAGTTCGTTCCGTCCTACTTTATGGCAGTGAAACATGGCCGGTAGGAGTAGAGGATATCCGTAGGCTACTAGTATTCGATCATAGGTGTCTTCGAAACATTGCTCGTATATCATGGGACCATCGATTAAGTAATGCAGTTGTTAGGAAACGGGTACTAGGTAAGGATGACAAATCAATTGATGAAGTAGTGGAACTTCATGAGTTGAGATGGCTGGGACACGTGTCTTGTATGCCCAACCACCGACTGCCTCGACGTGCGATGTTCAATGGTGGAAGAAAGCTAGGAGCGGCCAAACCAAAACATGGCACAAGTTCATGAAGTCACTGACAAGTGAACTGAGTCATGTTGGTAGGTGTAGACTACGTGGTTGGGGACTGCGAGATGAAAGCAACCGATGGTTAGAGACCCTGAATGACATGGCTGAAAATCGTTTGCAATAGCACAAGTGCATCCACTCTTTGTGTTCTCCCAAATTCTAATCTTCTGAATTCTTCATGTCCCTTTTTTCCTCTTTCCAAATTTGTTTCACTGGATTATACTCTTTAAATAACATCTTCAAACCCTAATCTTCCCGATTACTGCTTATACTCTTACCGCCTCTACCACTACGGGATTTGAATCGACCACTGCATCTCTGTGCTAAGGTGGTGTGGCAACTCGAACTGATGTACGTACGTACGAAGTTCTACGTTGTTACTGACTGACTGACATGAGAAGGATGAACAAGAATTGGATAGAACTAGAAACGAAGGCGGAGGACAGAGTGGGTTGGAGAATGCTTGTCGGTGGCGTATGCTGCACTGGGGGTAACAGGTGTAAGTAAGTAAATAATGAGACCTGAGGAGCATCTGTTTGATCTTATTGCAGGTTCGGACCTCGTCATCTTCACAGTATCTCAAACAACCGATTAGTATTTGCTTCACTAGTTCTTATCCAAGAAGTGTGTGGATTAAGGCTGAATACATAAATTCTTATTTGATAAATAAGTTTGTAATGATTTAATCATCAATTACTTGTTGAATCAATAACATTTCGGATGTCACCTTGCAGAGTTATTTTCGTGTAATTTTATTCCAGTTTCGTTTATTGCCCGTGTATCGTTGAATGATCGAATGAACGACATTGAAGTTAAACATAAAGTACTAGGCAAATATGGTAAAGTAGTTGATAATTTTGTGAGTCTTCATCGACTATAGTGGTTAAGCTACTTGTTATAAATACCCAGTTTACTGCTTTTTTCGACCGTTTATGTATAGCTGACATTATAGTCAGTTGGAAGGAAGCTAGGCGCGGCGAAACCAAAACATAGAATCACTACATGAAGACAATAAGTGTTGGACTTAGTTATTCTAGAAAATTTAAACCGCCTGGTTTGGGTCTACTCAATAACTAAGACCAATGATCGGTGATCTGGTGACATAGTTCAAAATCCATTACAATGATACAGATGATTTCATACTGTTTCTTTCTTAAATATTGAATTTCAGCATTCCTTGATACATACCTTTTCATACTGTCTTTTTGAATCATATTATCACAGTGTTTATTCTTTCTCATTATCATTGCTACTAAAGTGACTTCGATTTCTTCACTATTGAACTTAACAAGTTAATATGATACGGGAACATGAATTAATACATATTTGTTTCAGGTTCTATATTGATTACGGTTAATTGTATTACTTTCTTATTTTTTATATTACAGTATATGTTAAGCTTAAAAGCATATGAAAAGAAATACTTTAAATATATTGGTCAATTGTCAAATATACAATCAAAATTAACAAATTTATGTGATAAGCGTAAGTTATATTCTTTTGTCAACTATCTTATATTGTATTCACTTGTATCTTCCCATTGTTATTTAAGATTGCAATTGATCAGTCTCTTATTGTCATATATGCATCCTGTGTGGACTGCCTCGATATTGCCTGAAGTCATAAGCTTTTTAAGCGAAGATGGATAATGGCTAGTAATGGAATCCAGGACTCGTGTTTCGTCCTATTTTGGACTCGTCAGCTGGATCTACCTGGATATCGAGTCCCAGAGTGAACAATAACTCTGTTATGCAGGTGTATCCAGCTGACGAGCCACAAATACGACGAAACGCGTGAATTGAATTTCACTGTTCGCCTTTATCTACTTTTATTTATAAGATATATTGTATTCATACGTAAAGTTATCTTTAAATATTCAATTAAGTCTACTTAATTGTTCTTAAAAGAATGCCGATTACATTTATATATATTTATATATCATATTGAGCATAATTTTGTTGTGTTAGTTCTGATGACCATCTTCTTCTTCTTCTTCTTCTTCTTCTTCTTCGTCATTATCATCATCTTTTCGCCTGACTTTTGTCTTTATTTATTAACATCAAAATGTACTACATACAGTATTTCACATATAAGTAATTTTGTTTGCTTGTTTGTTATTTTACTCTCTCTTGTTATTTAATGATACATGATACTTTTTATTTATATCCTATTCTTATCCTAGTCAATATCATTAATGTACTTATTATGTTATTGTATGACAGATAATTTAGTAACCGAGTGTTCATGATGAATTTGATACAATTTTTTCTTGTTGTTGTTGTAAAAAAGTAGGAAAAAGTAATTCAATATTTGGGCAAGAAATGAATTAATTAGAAGTATATTGAATTCCCCGAATGTCCTGGTTTAGCTGAGAGTGGGGAGAGTCAGCTCTCTCTAGAAATACTCTCATATAGCCACGTGCATACAACCACTGTTAGAGAAGTCCTACTCACTACCGTCTCGCTGCGATGTTGTTTCAGTCAGTCAGTCAGCTACAACGTAGGACCAGGCACATATGTGCATCGGTCCAGGTTGCCATACCTCATTAGCACAGCAAGATGAACAGCGGATTCATAGCAGTGGTTAGGTCAAAGGTTGCAATAAGGATATAGTATAGGAAGAAAGAATTAGTTCGTAGACAGAAAGAATGAAGTGATTTTAGTCTCTTAGTTTAAGGGAAGACAGGGAGTGTATACACCGACGCCATTGTGATCGATTCTGAGCCATGTCACCAAGAGTCTCCAACCATTGGTTACGATAGTCACGCGGACCCCAACCAAGTAGTCTGCATCTACCAACATGGCTCAGACTAGAAGTTAGTGACTTCAGGCACTGATGCCACGTTTTGGTTTGGCCGCCCCTAACTTTCTTCCAACCATCCCCTACCCCGGTTAGCATTGCACGTCGTGGTAATCGGTGTTCAGGCATACGTAATACGTGGCCCAACCATCTCAGTCGATGAAGATTCATAACCTCATCAACTGATCTACCATCATTACCTAATACCCTGCGTCTAACCTCACTATTACTTACCCGGTGATCCCAGCAGATGCCAGCAATATTTCTAAGGCATCTGTGGTCAAATACTAGTAGCTTACGGGTGTCTTCTACTCTTAAGGGCCATGTTTCGCTGCCATAAAGTAAAACAGAACGGACTGCCGCGCAGTATACTCGTCCTTTTATTGATAGACGGATATCTCGCCTTCGCCAAAGGTGACGTAAGTTGGCAAAAGCCAAACAAGCTTTTCGAATCCGTGCTGAAATTTCGTCAGACACCAACCCATTAGGGCTGATCAGACTTCCAAGATAAGTGAAGTTGTCAACGCGTTCAACTACTTCACTCCCTATCCTTAGTTCAGGTGTTGACGGAGACCAGTCCTGAAGCAACAACTTGCATTTAGAGGGAGAGAAGCGCATCCCAAACATTCTGGCATTGTTGCTTAGTGCTACCAGAAGACTCTGCATTTTGTTAGCGTCTTCACCAAACAGGACTATGTCATCTGCGTATTCTAAGTCGATAAGTGGACCTCCTGGAAGGAGATCAATATCCGAGAATTCAGTCGACGAGGGTGTTATTTCCATCAATAGGTCTATGATGAAGTTAAACAAAAATGGAGAAAGTGGACAGCCTTGACGGACACCACTTGAGGTTGCAAAAGTAGATGACAGTTCGCCATAAGCCCTGACTCGACTAGTAGTGTTCGAGTAAAGAGCCTTCACAAGGTTTATGTACTTCTGAGGTACGCCTTTCAATGACAGACACTGCCACAGAGTCTCGCGGTCTACCGAGTCAAATGCTGCTTTTAAGTCAAGAAATACCACCATCGTCGGACGCCGATAGGTATGCCTGTGTTCTAGAACCTGACGAATGGTGAATATGTGGTCGATGCAGCCAGGACCAGGTCAACTTAATCGCTAAAATTGGACCACCATCCTTAAAGACCTCTGAAGCCAATCCATCTGGACCAGCTGTCGTTCCTCGTTTCAGATTAACTATGGCCTTTTGAACTTCAGCAAGAGTCGGGTGACCTACTTCAATGTTCCATTCACACTGTCTGGGAATGGAGGGTAGTTGTAGAGTAGCTGAAGGCCAGCTGAACTGTCCCCTAAAGTGTTCCGCCCATCGTTCTAAACGCCTGGACTTGGAGCAGATGAGAGTATCGTCTTTTTCCGATATAATCTCACACTTGACTTATTAATTCCAGTTTCTTTTATTAGTCTGTAAAGCTGTCTTGTGTTCCCTATAGTCGCCGCCTTTTCCATCTCTTTTGCTTTCGATGCCCACCACTGCTCACGGTCGTTTCTTAGACTTTTTCTTAACCTAGATCTGATTTGTTTACGCTCTTCATCATGTTCAGAACCTGATGGGACGAGTTTGCGAGAATCCATCAGTGTGACAGACCTTTAAGAAATCCACTGGTTCCTTGCAACTCTGTGGTTTAAGTCACTAATGGATGTCACTGCTGTTTCTACAGCTGATTGTATGCCCTTCCAAGTAACATCTGGGTCAGCCTCGTCTTCACAACTACCTAAGTGTGACCTCAGTTGTTCCTGGAACCTACTTTTGGTTTTCGCGCTACTCAATTCACTTCTAATGGGTCATTTTACTTTGGCTTTTTTGCGTCCAGTGAGGCGCAAGCAGATGCGTGCCCGTATTAGGGCGTGGTCGGAGTCCAAGCAGGTACTCCAGAATGAGCGACAATCTTCTACCGACCCTCTCCAACGATGACTGATGGCAATATGGTCTATTTGAGTCCATCGTTGGTTTGGTGTAGGGGGTCGCCATGTTAGACGATGTCTCTCCTTATGCTTAAAATTTGTGTTTGCTAAAAATAAACGATTGTCTGAGCATAGCTGCAGCAGACGATCACCATTATCTGTTCGCTGTGTCGGAATACTAAAATATCCACCTAAATGCCTTTCTGTTTGGTTTAAACTGCCTATCTGAGCATTAAAATCACCTGCTACGAGTACTATGTCTGAGCGTTTAGCTTTCTGAAGAAGTTCGGACAGCTTTCTGTAAAATTCATCTTTCACATCATCTGAGCTGCAGTCAGTGGGAGCGTAGGCAGAAACGACAAAAAGGCAACGACGTGTGTCCCTATCCTTCCGAGTTCTTACGTAGCCGTTTATGGAGAAGGTTACAGAAGGATCGCCACTGGCTTCTATTCTGACCCATATCTAATAACGTCTCTAGCCACTGTGTTGCACCATCTCTCAGACTCCAACCAGGGAGTCGTGAAGGACCGACAGAAGCCAGTCCTTTGCAGCTTTCTTTCATACCACGACACCATGTCATGCACTGACCACCTCTCCGCTTCTTCCAACAAGTCCCAGAGTCGGCAAATAATGCACGACGTGGAATTCTATGGAACGACATTCGGAGAACATGTCCAAGCCACCGAAGTCGGTGTTTCAAGATGGTGACACCAATTGAATAATAGGAATTGAAGAGGAAGGTTGATTATGAATACAGTGGTCTTGAGTGCTGTTAGAGGTATGAGGGCGGTTTTCACTTCCCGGTTGCCCACACCGTGGAAGGGTTCTTCTGAAGGTACCTGAAAAGGAATTTGGATTGAAGGTGGTCTTAGTGACCTGAGAGCGTGACCGCAGTGCCCAAGGGACAACTGCTTGAGGTCGGTCACACACGACCTTGTTATGGGTAATTTTTGTGTTAGCTCCGTACTTATTGAGACCTTACCGCCGGAGACGGATATCCGTGGGATAAGGCGAGGTGTGCATTTTTAGGGTCGACCTTTGCTAACCCCACCCCTCCTTGTGGGAAGGCAGCATCGCTGTCAAGCTGGTTGTCTGAAGGAAACACCTTACTGCTGTCACACCTCTGTACAGTCAGCAGTACGACTTCGCCTTCGGACCTTGGGTTTGTTGCTTTTAGTCTTACCGCTCTTCAACCGACCTGTCTGACATGGTAGGACCTTGAGGAACGGTTGTTCCAGCCAGTATAGCTCGGTTGCTTCATCAGGATAAGCAAGCCCGACCACCACGTCAAGGTAGCAACAACGGTCGGGGCGATGTTGTTTACCAAATTGAGTAGACGAAAAATGAAGATCCGGTGTATTAACCGGGTTGGTGGGTATGGAGGATTCACCAAAGGGAGTTGGAAAACCCTGATTCCAAACCAATGGTGCATATGGGCTCCAGGATCTTGAGGGATGAAAAGGCGTACGAACCTATTGTTGGTCACCAGCTACCATGTGACTGCATCTCCTTACTTTGCTCCACTGTCTTGTGGATTAAACCTTCAGGTAGAAGTCTCGGGGTGTGGCTCCTTAAGAAAACCACCTGCTTCAGTTTGGGCACCTTGCCAGTATCCCAGGCTTCACGTAAATCTAATGATTCGTTTGGCGCATATGCATTTGGTGCCTCCTTTCACCAATGTCTATGTGTTTAAATAAATAAATACTGAATCCTTATACCAAGTAAATTGGTTGAATAAAGAGTCATTCAAAGAATTTACCTTAAAT